TGTGTTAAACTAATTAATGCACAGCATACTCAACAATCTCTATTTAGTTACCAGAAAAAAAAGTGAAGGAAAAAATGGAAGTGTTATTGAACACTATTTTTTTTTTCAACTATATCTTTTAACACCTCAAATCTTTTAACACCTACAAAAAGACATCGCTTTAATACAGATCAATAAAACTTTTATGTGTGTAAACTGATCGTAGAGAGGGAAAACGGCAAAAAAAGGATGAAATAAGAAGAGAAGAGAAAGGATGAAATAAGGAGAGAAGGAAAAAGAGGAAAAAAAAATTCTTAACCTGTCATCATCAACAGTTTTTACCTTTGAAGCAATCAGTGGAGTAAGAGTAAATGATTGACCAAAATTTTGTTGTTTAGGTTTGATGAAAAGTTTTTTTTTCAAATGTTATAGGCTTTATTTAATCTGTATTCTTTTTGCAAAACAATTTATCATAGAAAATTGCACAATTTCCCGGTCGATTGCAGAATTTACCAAGAAAAAAAAAAAGTTATAGTTTTTAGGTAACTGATAAAATATTGAACAATAGAAACAGCATTGATGACAAACGATGGAAAGATGTGTCAGCAAGGAATCTATAAATTTAGCTATTAATAAACCGCAAATGTGATATGCAAAAAATTTTGAAATTGTTCAGTTTGGTAAACAAACAGTATCATTAAAGATTTCTCCAAATTTGTATCCTATAATTTACTGAAACAAAAAGTTTTCGTCATTAAGAATCTGCAGCAAAAAAAAAAAAAAAAGTTGTCATTTTTATGAAATGCTTGAAAGATTAATTGATTCTTTAGACCATTTTTTTCTAGACAGCTGATCACTGTAATTAAAATTGCATATAACTTTTTTTCAAAGGTTTAATCCAAAAAAATTTCTTGTTCAGGAAAAAATTGAAAACAAAAAATTTTTATTCTTTTAAACAAGTTTCTGTTTCTCCTTTTTGTTTACTTTTTTTTAGTATTCTTTTGGATGTGTATACTGATAAAGAAGAGGTAAAAAAAAAAAAAAA